TTAATGACATTTTTTGATTCAAAGAAATTCTCACTTTTTAATTGAATTAAGACCAATTTAAAAAAATCATACGTACAGTCTAAGAAAAATATATATACATAATATAAAGTAAGTATTTTTTAATTTTAGAAATCATGGTACAAGTTAATTCCATTAACGTAAATAATTTACTTCTGACAACATTTAAATGATGAACTTACCAGANGTTAAAGCATCCACTAAGTAAAACAAAAGGCTTATTTTCCCACTAGAGATGGCTATTTGTTTCGTCCTAACTTTTTATAAGTAGAGGGCGAAACTCTTAGATTCGTTCTACAAATAAATTAATTTAATTTTTGTTTGTCAGGAACAGCCGTTGGCTCAAAGGCCTTATTTATTTTTACTTATAGTATACTTTTTTTTAAATCATTGACTCGGCGTTGCTGTGTTAGGTCCACCCAATGGTACATGTGTAGTAGCATTAGTGTGTCATACACGAGCTGGCGTTGACCTACTGTTTGAATTTATATGTTATTTACTGCAATAGAACCATTTATTATTTATGCGTTTATCTAACGTCCTTTTAAAAGTTTTTGTCATACGTTGTCTATTTTAATTGTTTTTGATATATTGTTGATTTATCAAAGTATGAATTATGTGTCTATCGATTAGAATTTTAAATCTTCGAATAATTTATATAATTTAGAAATTTAACCATTTTTAAATTAAGAAACTACATTTCATCTACAACCAAGTTATGTCTTGTCCGGTGATTTTATAAATTTAGAAAAGCCGCAATAGTTGATTTACAAATGATATACATTATAAAGTTTTAGATTCACATTTACAATTTTTATACAGTTTATAATTTTTCTTAACTTACTTCTTTGATCGTTGGTTAGCTGCTGCTTTCGCGCATGCAGTCACAAGATCTTATAACGTTGACTGCAACAATAGTTATAATCTTACACGAGAGTACTCGTTGCGATAATAATTAGGCTGCAGCTTTTAATGTCAGAACCCATGTGTTTACGATTTTTCCTTACTTTATCCTCCTTGATTCACTTTTCCGGTGATTTTACAGCGGCTTGGTTTGCTCGAACTTTTTTTGCATAGCTTAGCCAGCAAACTAAGTCTCACATTTGCTTTAAATGCACGCTTCTAATACGTTGCTTAATCACCGAACTAAGTTTTACATCCGCTCCAAAGACGCAACAAAACTCACTCTCCAACCTCTATAGTTACTTTGGAGCACTTAATGAAAGATAAAAGGCGAATTTGGCTATGTGCGAAGAGTTTTTATACATTTGCTCTTAAGGAAAACGCGTAAGGTTGGGTATCCGAATGAACAATCAGAGCTTAACCTAAAGACTTTTGATTGATACGAGAATAGTCGTGGTGAAATAATTTCACAGTCATTTATGGTTAAAACTACTGATATCTCGGATTTTTCATTAAGTTAAAGTAACTGTAAAAATTTTGTATAAAATTTTTTGTGGACATACGCAGTAAAGAATGTTGAAATTTCTGATTATTCACATTTTTAGATGTACTAGTGCGAATTGATGTTGTAATGTTTGCATTCTAAAATTGTGAATTGAGACTCTGTGTTTTAAAGTAATGCATATGAAATATGCAACATGGAATGTCACATACAAATTATATTTATCGCTTAAACCTCAACAAAGTTAGATTTTTGCTTTAAATTTCTGGAGATTCACGAGGTATATAGTTTTTTTTTTAAATTAATTAATTTTTTATTTACCTATAATTTATAAATTTATACGACTTTTATTTATAGTAAAAATAGTACATGAGAGGTTTGACATACGAAGCGTTCAGGGGGGCAAAGCCCTACTAGTTTATGCATGTATCACATTAGTAAAGTATCTGCTAACATGCAGTGGCAACGTGCACTTTCATTATGGAAGCTTATTTTTGTCAGGACGATGCTGTCTAAATTTTCTAATAAGGTTTAGACGTTTGGTAAGATAGGGTGTCATAGAAATTTAAATAACAAAAGTACTCTAGATGTTTGATTGCTACGATGTTTTCACAGTGTAATTAAACTCTATAATACAGAGAGACTACTAGGCTACACGTTAAACTTAAAGGCTTCTTAACTATGTGGCTTAGGAGGTGCATAGCTTATTTACCGTTTCATTTCACCTTCTTAAGCTTTTGGCTGCATACTGAAGCCTATGATAACATACTAAGTACATCCAAGTATTAATTTTAACGTCAGACTGAAGTACTTACATCGCAAGTGAAATTTTATGTTAACCTTATAGACTGTTACTATGTTTTCTTTACTTTTTAACGAATCATAAGGATATTTCAGACTAGTTGTTCAAAAAAAATTGTTTAAGCCTGTTAAATCTCAATGAATATAATTTTTCTAGTTTTTACATTGTAAAATAAATTCGTTAAGGTGGCTTCAATAAAAACTTAAAGTTAGTCGAATATTTTAATTTATACATTTTTTTTTTTTTTAGACAATGGACTTTGTTGTTCCAAAAATAATTACTGAATCCGAATAGAAGTAATTGGGGGATGAAGCAAAATAAGATATAAATTTATACACTAGGTCAACACCAGCTCGCGTACGATATATTAACAGTACTGCACATGTACTGTTTGGTAAAACCTAACACCACAACGCCGAATCAACGATTCGTTTTTAAAACTGTTAGTTACAGCAAGCAATGCCTTTGGGCTGGCTGCTGGTTTCCAAAGAACAAAAATGAAATGTATTCGTTTGTACAACGAATCTATGAGCTAAAATTTTCACTTATAGAAGTTTGCATTTAAGTAGCTGTAGCTCTTAATTAGCATCTGATAGTCTATTATATAATTTTCTTACTTTCATTTTATATTCCTCTAAAGTTTTGGCTTATATTATAATANTACCAATATTTAAATAAAAATTAAAATCAAATATAAATAAGTCAGTCAAAATGCATTACAACGTACGAAAAATTGAAGTAAACCAAACGAGAGGAAAGAAGCTAAGAAGAGAAAGAGAGCGAGAAACGTATCGTTCCCGCGAGGATTCCCTTCATTACTCTCTTCCCGTCCCTAGTGCTCGCTTACCACTGCTACAATTTTTTTCCCATTGTATCACTTTATCGTCTCCCAGCATCTTGCTCCTGCTCTTCTTAGCTGTAGTAGATTGGAGTAGGGGAGAGTCCGGTGGATTATATTAAATATTAATACCAAAGTCGATTCAATCAAGAAGATGCGAAACGTTAATTGGATTATGAGACAGACATGGGCGTTGGCTGGGGATTACATTGGTAGTGAAAAATTTACTTTCACCAGAATGTTTATGTCTTTTGTTGAATTTTTTTGGGTCTTATTTTTTCATACTGTCGTATTTTATTATAAAAAATAATTATCTAGTACTTGAAGGACCATTAATTTACAAACAGTTTATTGTACTGAACAAAATGTCAAAAAGCCAGCAAATCTCATCGAAATAAATATTTGGAGACATCAAAAAATTTGACTTATCGTTTTATTATTCCACGTTACGTACAAAAAGTTTAATCAATTTCATTTAAAGATGCAGATAAAAATAGCGACAAAAGTTGTTTATCTGATTACAACAAGCAAATAATATTATCATTTACTAAAAATTAATTTCAGTAGTGATTTTTTTTTTTTTTTTTCTCATTTGACCCAAAAAATATATTTGATTGCGACTTTTACAACAAAAATTTTAATTAGGCTAACTGAATTTTTTTTTTCTTGTGGAACAATAACCGCATGTTGAACTACACAAGTAAAAAATCATCAAAAGTACATCCGAAAAAACTATAATTCCACACCATCCTGAACACAACACAGCCCAGAATTAAATTTTAATAACACACGCCAAAAAAAAGGGCACAATGAGAACATCGGCCTCTTCGTAAGCGCATGTTTCTTTAGATTTTGCGGCTTCCATTAAATTTCAATATCCCCCGGCCAAACTAACCACAACAGCGTCCCCCCCCCATAGCATATAGTAGTCGGCGCGCACGCATTCCCTCTCAATGCTCATTTCGAAATCCCCAATTATTTTCAATCTCAATAATAACCAAAGGAGAAAACAAGACCCTCCTCACCCCTTCCCCACCGAAATCTCGCACCAGGCAAACACGTAAATTCGTACACAACGACAGTGCGCGCGTCACACCTGCGCGATCAATTTGCAAAGCGACCGATCGCTATCTCGAGCAAACGATTGAATAAATAACGCAACGGCGGTTATTAATGCCCCCGCGAGTTTTCAACAAAGAGCGGGCCTAACGACGCACCTCCACTCGAAGCGCAAGTAAGCCTTGGCTTATATCTTTCGGGAAAAAAGTATCCACGCGCTGCCGCGTATTTTACGTATTCTTTCGGGGCGCGTGTATGTGTGGGTATACCCACCTAAATCCATTTGCCGGCTCATAAAGCTTTCGATCGGCATGATAAATTTCCTTGATGCAGAGGTGCGCGCAACAGGATTCGGTGGCGAAGCCGAAGGAGGAAAAAAAAAAAAAAAAAAAAAAAAAAAAAAAAAAACTACAACACAAAAGAGCTGCCCCTCGAGTGACTGCGCGTACAGAAGTAAAAAAAGAAGCCGCTGCTGCGGTGGTGGAGGGAAAAATAAGCGCAAGACCGCAGATTTTTCAATATATCTGGTGTATACTGTTGCTGGGAGCTGCAGTACTTTATTATTACTGCACCACCACCACCACTGTCGGAGGGCCTTCTTCTTGGCTTGTGCTTATTATTCTCGGGCTTTTTTTTCTTCGTTGTCTGCGTTGTCGTCTCCTCCTGCTGGATCGTATTTTCGGCTTAGCATTTTCCGCTTTGTTAAGTTGCACGGATCTGGATCGAAGGGGATTTCGAGGGTGTTTTTATGGTTTGTAACTGGTGTACTCGTGGCGAGGTTGAGACTTGGCTGTGAAATTTATACATTTTTTTTTTTTTTTTTTGTTCCAAAAATAATTAGTTTTCTCGAACTGAACGCTTTAGGGGATGAAGCAAAGAAATTATCTATAAGTCCAAGTGAAGTTAATACATACCGCCAAGGTGCATCAGAAGCTTTAGCTTGCTTGACCGACATTTTGGGACTAAGTATTGTGCCGTACGCTGTTATTTTTATGGTTCCGCTATTAGGAAGAATGAGTGATAAAAACGAGGCCGTACGGTTAACTTCTAGTGCAACATTTGCAACGCTTATACAACTGCTTCCTTTGGATTCAAGAAAAATCAATGAAGATAATTTAACGTAAGTTATTAATGCATTTTTTATTTAGTTATAATATTAGTTGTAGGATTGCATTAATAAATATCTTCAGAAAGTCTTGCGATACGAAAGACTTACAGTGCTTTCAACAGATTTTAATAAAATAAAATTGCTGAGCTAAGCTGTAGAGTCAAGTTCTTCTATTGGATATTTATACTAATCAATGTAACTGCTGGAAAAAAGATTAAAATACAATTGCTTAATTTGCTGGATGATTGTCTAGACCAGATAATGCGAGTTCTTGAAAAAGTTTTTCGTGAAAGGTGCAGGGTCTTGGACAATTTCTGTGTGTATTTAAATGCTTAAAAACGAATATAACTGTGTGAAAATCCTAAATCATGTACTTAATTTTTAAAATTGATTTGAACATCTACGTGACAGAAAAATAGTTTCAACATATACTTGACTTTACAAAGGATAAATGAAGCTTTATTATTATAAAATTTATTGTAGTTAAAAAATCAGGTGTGGGTCTTCGGACCCCTGAGGGATATGAAACATCAAAGAATACATGATTTATATCGGTAATATTTAATTGTCTATGATAAAAAACTATTTATTTCTTTCCCCTTAATAATTTTAATTCCATATTTTTGTATTAAAAAGACAATTTATTAATGAATATGTGTTCTTATTCATGTATGTTATGGGTTAGAAAAAAGCAAATAAAAATTATGTTAGAATTTTATTTATTCATAAACATATAAACAACGAAAACGAGAAAGAACAACAATACACGGGAAATGGTAGTTTTCCTACGAGTTTGAAAAGTCTCTGTTTGCGAACCGAGAGGTTTGCGGCCCGAGCCGAAGGCGAGGGACGTAACGAGGTTCGTAAAGGAGACTTTTCGGACGGGTTCCGAAAAACTGCTTTTTCGCCCGAGGAAGTGCCAGCCTCTCAAAACCACCCGAGGGCAGAAAAAGTACTTATCTTAACTACCTACTGACAGAAAGGTACATAATACGTTCATGTGTATTACTTTGTCTGTCTCTCTGCTCTCTGTCTCTTTTTGGATACCTGTGCGTAATTGCTCTCGTGCACGAGCTTCGTTGATTTTTTTCTAAAAACGAGTTAACATGCAGGAATTGAGTGAACAGAATTGGAAGATCTCGGAAGAACTTTGAATTATGATAAAATTTTTATATTTTAAAATAATCTTGTTCGCCAAGAAGCATTTTTTTAAAACTAATAAAAAAATGACACTAGTTTTAAAAGTTATTCGTCGTTTTCTACAAGCGCAAAATATTAACAAAAACAATGAAAAGGGCCTATAGGTATACCTGTTTAAGTACAATAGAGAGAGAGAGAGAGAGAGAGAGAGAGAGAGAGAAAGAGCGTTAGCGACAAGAGACGAAAAATGGCTCTTTCTATCTCACTTACTCTTACAAGTACTGACAAAATGCCATTTATCACTTTTTTTCTCAACATTTTGAGCTTGTCAAAACAAGAAAAGTGCTTATTGTTAAAAAATTATTCGCCTAACTTTTGAACACAACTTTAACTTTATTTAACCACTTAAAAATAATTATACCTATTTTATTCTTAATTAGTGGGCTGGACTACATATTATATAGAAAACACCGAATTATCGATCAATTTTCTAATTCAGAAGTTTCTTGGTTGATATCTATAAGTAATAAAAACAAAAATTAGGACTGCGCGATGCGTAGCACAATGGATAAGGTCCTTGATTACCAATCCGAAGTTTGGGGATTTGATTCTCGGAGTCAGAAAAATTTAAAAAATTTTTTCGACACAAATATATTTATATAATATATGCTAAATCGTATTATAACATATAAATATATGTATACTCTATATGCATAAAATATGATATTTAATTACATGTGTATGTACAATTCTATATAGCTATATATATGTAATATACAGTTTGTACGCAATAGTACACTTTAATGCGAAAAAAGCCATATATAATCGTAAATAGTTATATTGTTACCGTATATACGTATATGTGGATATACAAGTTCTACCACATGTATGTATTTAGAGAGACAGAGGAGTGCTGAGTAGTGGGGTGAACAGCAACGGAGGAGCGGACCATACTTTTCGTTGCACATTTCCCCTCACTGCCCGCCATAAGATGTTTCACGTCAAAAATAAAAATTCATAGTACATCTTATTAGTCTAACATCTAATTACTTGTTTTTACTTTCAATTTCTAAAGCAAGTCTCTGGGTTGGGGCTCAATTTATTCTTTGAAATATCAAAAATAGGTGTTAATATAATTTTTTTCTATAAAATTGCTACTATTAGAAAGAACAATTTCATGATGCTTAAATATAAGGTCAGTCTTACGGATAAGAGAGGAAACTTTAACTGTATTTGGATTGTCTTTAAGGAATTATATGTATGTACACTAGGGAGAATGAAAGTTAAGAGAAGTGATAAACGTGTTGAACTTTGAACTTACAGATCTATTAACATGTTGAAGCCCTTACTTACGTGCGTATTTATTGAAAAAAGTAGTAATATGTGCCTGATTCTAATATCAGATTAAGTTTCTTTGCTGTGCAGATATTTATAGTAAATTGTCGCTTTGTACAATGACAATGCATAGGTCAATCGGGATGCCACTAATGCATTTCGTAAATTTTGGAGAGAGCTAGATATCGTAGTCATCGTGAGTATTATCCATCGTACTTTTTTTTTTTTTTTCGGAATCTCTTCAAAAGCTTTTTAGCTGCCAGACTGAAAGCTAAGATTTTTAAATAACTCACTCAAAGTGAGCTGCTTAGTACCCCGTAATAAGTGTTAAGTAAGCCAGCTCGAGCCTGTTGTTCTTAGTTTTAATTAGTTAGTCAAAGAAACTTGTTTTAAAATTAACAAAGTTTTGTTAAAAATACTAATACAAGAGACGAAGTGCATGAGACTAATATAAAATACCCAAAATTCATAACATTATACTTTTACGAAAGTGAAAAATGGTAGTTTAAGTAACCATGGAAATATACATGTATCTATGTTTTAGAGTCCTTTGTGTGGAGCCTTTCACACAAATCTTTATAACTCCCACAGACCTTAATTGATTCTCACTACCTTTCCTCCACAAAATAACGTAAAAGTCTATCGTTTTTTTCCTTATTTCAGCTTATCTCACTTTTTTCAGACCATCTATCGTCCCCCACAACGCCCTTACAACCTCACCAGCCTTTGTGTCCTTCACGTAACCCTACATTTTTTTTTTCTTGATACCCTCCTACTGCATTCAACAGCCACCCACACCATTTTTGTGCAACCTTACTAATACTCGACTTACCTTCTCAGACCTATAAATCTATCCAAAAATATACATGTATACATTTTACTTTATTTTTAAATACATTTTATTAGAAAACTACGATAATACATAAACTTTAAGAATAAACTAATACGTACATGTATATATGTTAGTTGACATTATTTACTGGTGATGCATGCATTAATAACTTGGTAAGTGTATTCGGACGTCGCTTCCATTATTTTGACTCACATTATACTTTGTCAAGACGCCCCACAACCCTTTACCAACCTTTTATACCAAAATATCTTTAAAACTAATTTATATGGTAGTGATTTTACTTACAAACTAACTTTTACTTATTTGTTAAATATAACGCTTGTATGTAGTTCACGGTAAAAATCATTAGATGGTTTGTCAATCAGTCAACTGTTGAAAGAGTGTAAGAAGATAATATGGTTTACAACTGCTAGAGCTTAACATATAGCTCAGTGTGTATACCTACATAAATTTATTTGTATACAAAATGAGAAACTCTGTGTACAACTTTGTCAATGTATACGTAGATGTTCAAAAACACTGAGCCGTGATTATAACACTCATCAGTTTTCAAAAATTTTCAGTCTTATCCAATCCGTTCACTGGATCTGATAGTTATTACTGAATCCAGGAAGTAGAAGAACAGTATCGAATCTGGATTGCAACCCTTGCTCACGTCATTGTGTATGTTTTCAGCGCCCCGACGATGAGCTGAGAGGAGAACAGAGAAGTTATTAGCAACAGTCAAAGCATTGACAAAAGCTGTATGCTTAATGTGTCTATAAATGTTTAAGAGAAAAAAGAATAATACTTTATTCCACGACGTATTTCGGAAAAATCTAAATAGTGAGAATATTCAGTTTCCTCTTCGAATTTCATTGAAATCCCACAAAATTTTTATTTGTCTCATATTTATAAGATGAGACTACAAACATTGACGATCAATGTGATGAAGTACCTTAATTAAAGTGCGCTAAGCAGATCTTATGTTTATTGTAGAAAGTGCAACCGAGTTTCATATTTTTTTTTAAGTTTTACTTCTATCAGCTCGTTCTGCATAAAAGTGAATCAATGACTTTAAAATTTTCACTTTAAAAATATTTATGGTGAAACTAAATTTCAACAGAAATTCTAGACATCAAAAAGATTACACAGGTTGTCAAGTAACTCCTTAATTTATTCCTTAATTTAATATCTAAAAAAAATGCTTTCTACCAAGTATGAACTCACGTCTTTCTGCATGAGTTTTATCTTAAATATTTATTCACCATTTATCATTTTGTAAATTTATATATGTGTATATGTGTGTGTATAAAACTTACATTATATTTTTGTAAGCCCAATTTCTGTCTCTAATTTTCCCTCGCCTCCCTCGTTCCCCCAAAAATTTTGGAATATTTTTCGAATCCTCCTTCCCCCCTAAAAATAAGGTATACATCTCAATATTTGTCCCTTATTTTAACCAAATAAGAAGTTTCCGATTTCTCCTAAGCCCCCCTCATAATTTTCAAGCTCCCCTGGTCTTCCCTCTGGCTCATAACTATAATGCAGTTATATGTATTAACTATATCTAACAAATCTTATTATTCTACTTGCAAATTAGATAGTTAGGAGATCAAATACAGTATCCAAAGGCCCCTCACTCCTTTCCCCTCATCCCGCCCTCATAACTTTTAGGTCCTCCCTCTGGTCTCTTCTCACGTTA